TATATGTTATAAAATTTAATATCAAGTTTAATCAACATTTTATTCTAAAGAATTGCACTAAATTTTAATCAAATTACTATAAATAGCGAGTAATCCGTTTTATCAATTTTAATAAAATTCAGAAAACTATATATATATAATATCTATAGAGACCTAAACCCAGATCCAGATCCATATCCACCTATGGTTCATAGCGGCCACTGTACTGGCTTTTCGGAACGGAACTAGTTCAATATACTACGCGAATTGTTTCTTGTTTTTTCATTCAGTTTCGGTGTCTGTTCGAATAGAGTTAGATATAGTCACACAACAACATATATCAATATGAACTCAGGGTTTTTGGTGTGCTTTAGTCGGTCGTGTGGCTGTTCGTGACCTTTGACCTATTAGATCATTCAAATTAAGTACGATTCTCAATTATCCTCAACAATTTAATGATAATAAATAACAATTGCAAATCCAACTTGAAATCGTAGTGTTTGCTGGCTTTATTTAAATTTCTATTTTAAGTTCGTTCAATTTTCATTTGAAATATTTTTTTTTGTTTTTTTTTTTTTTGCTTGGGCCATGGACTCCATTTAAGTTTCTGTTGTTTTTGTTGTAGTCTTTGGGGCTGTGGGATCTCGTTTTGGTTCGCTTTAACCTATTGATCTTTCCCATTGTTTTCCCAGGCAAGTTTCGCAAGCAAATTGTGGAGCGAGCGGAGCCGGCGGAGCAGCTGAAGCAGAAATACGATGGCTTCCTAACGCCCACAGAGTTCAAGCATCACAATTTCGTGGCCATGGAGAGGTGAGTCTGCTGTCCTGCTGTCCTGCTGTCCTGGTCCTGGTCCTGGTCCATTGGCCAACTACTATATATGCCCATCCCATTGCAGTTATCTGCGCAACCTGAGCGCCAGCTACCCGACGCTCACGCGCCTCTACAGCATTGGCAAGAGCGTGGAGAACCGAGATCTGTGGGTGATGGAGATCTCCACCTCACCGGGCAATCATGTGCCGGGCGTGCCGGAGTTCAAGTACGTGGCCAACATGCACGGCAACGAGGTGGTCGGCAAGGAGATGCTGCTGCTGCTCACCAAGTATCTGCTGGAGCGCTATGGCAATGATGATCGGATCACGCGGCTGGTGAATGGCACACGGATGCACTTCCTCTATAGCATGAATCCGGATGGCTATGAGGTGTCGCAAGAGGGCGATCGCACCGGCGGCGTGGGCCGGCCCAACGCCCATATGGTGGATCTGAATCGCAATTTTCCGGATCAATATGGCACGGATAAATACAACAAGATCACGGAGCCAGAGGTGGCTGCCGTCATGAACTGGACGCTCTCGATACCGTTTGTGCTCTCGGCCAACCTGCACGGCGGCTCCCTGGTGGCCAATTATCCGTTCGACGACAACGAGAACGACTTCAATGATCCCTTTTCGCGGCTGCGCGACTCTAGCATCAGCGGCCGCAAGCTGAATCCCACCGAGGACAACGAGCTGTTCCGCCATTTGGCGCTGGTCTATTCGAAGGCGCACGCCACCATGCATCTGGGCCAGCCGTGCGCCCTCTTCCAGAACGAGCTGTTCACCGACGGCATCACCAATGGCGCCCAGTGGTACAGCGTGACGGGCGGCATGCAGGACTGGAACTATGTGCGTGCCGGCTGCATGGAGCTGACCATCGAGATGGGCTGCGACAAGTTTCCGCTGGCCAAGGAGCTGCCCCAGTACTGGCGCGACAATCGCGAGCCCCTGCTGCGGCTGATCGAGCAGGTGCATCATGGCATCCATGGCTTCGTGCGCAGCAGCATTGGCACGCCCATTGTTGGGGCAGCCATCGCCCTGGACGGTGGCAATCATAAGACCTACAGCGGCACCTTCGGCGACTACTGGAAGCTCGCACTGCCCGGCCGACACAATGTGACGGTGCTGTCCGATGGCTTTGCCCCGCTGCGCGTCGAGGTGGAGGTGCCCGATGCGGAGCCCTTTGGCATGCGCCTGGACGTCACCCTCATGCGCGACGATCCACAGCACTGGGCGTCCGCCAACGATTTCCGCATCATCGAGAACGTCGTCAACACCAGATACCACACGAATGCCGAGCTGCGCAATCGCCTGGCCGAGTTCGAGAATCAGAATCCGCAGATCGCCAGCTTTGGCTATGCGGACAATGAGTTCAGTCGCCACTTCAATTACCTCAAGCTGACATCCAATGTGAGTAATCGGATGAGAAAGTCGTCCTACCCAACGATCCTTCCCTAATGATCCTTTCCTAATGAACATTCCCCAGAGATCCTTCTCGAATGATCCTTTCATAATGATCATTCCCTACTGATCGTTCCCAACTGATACTTCTCTAATGATCCGTCCCTAATGATTTTCCCCAGTGATCTTTCCCCAATAATCCTTCCCTAATGATTTTTCCCCAATGATACTCCCCTAATGCTCTGTCCCTAATTATATTCGCTAATGATCCTTCCCTAATGGTTTTCCCCAATGATCCTCCCCTAAAGATTTTAGCCAATGATCCCCCCTAAAGATTTTACCCAATGATCCTTCCCCACTGATCCTTCCTTGACGATCCTTCTCCGTTGACCATTCTCTAATAAGCCTTCTCCATTGATAATTTCCCATTGATCCCTCTGTAATTGTCTTTTCCCAATGAACCTTCCGCTTCCCCATCACAGCTTATTTGCTTCCCATAAACTAACTCTATGTACTGATTCTCACTCTCTCTCTCTTCCTCTCAATCTCATCCACCACAGATCGGCGAACCGGAGGAGCACAAATACAAGCTGCTGGTGATTAGCTCGCTGTTTGATACCGCCGCTCCACTGGGCCGGGAGATCATGCTGAATCTGGTGCGCCATTTGATCGAGGGACACAAGCTGCAGGAGGCGTCTGTGGTGCAGCTGCTGGAACGCAGTGTCATCTACTTTTTGCCGCAGACAGAGAAGTTCGATCCGATCTTCGCCATGTACAATGCCAAGTGAGTGAAGCTATGTGACATAGCAGCCGCATAGCTCCTGCTAAATGCGAATATTTACAGCAATTCCGTGTGTGATCCCATGATGTCCGAAGAGCTGGCCGAGCGTATTCTCAGCCCGGAGACGGAGCCAGCCAGGGATGTGCTGCTGCAGTTCTTGCGCAACGAACGCTTCGATCTGATGCTGACATTCAGCGGAGGCAGCTCGGATCTCAGCTTCCCCCATGCCGATTCCATACTGGAGAAGTTCGCCCACAGCATCCGGCGCACCGAGTTCAATTACTCCCCGCTGCAGTGCAGCAGCTCGGCCACGCGTCAGCTGCATCACGACGTCACTGAACGGCTGACCAACCTGTTGTACAACATGTACAATATACCGATGTTTACGCTGGGCCTGTCCTGCTGCCGGATGCCCGTGCACACTGAGATCGCCTCGGTGTGGCGCACCAGCATCGAGAAGATTCGCAACTTCCTGGCGCTGGTGCGAACCGGCATCACGGGGCTGGTGCAGAACGATAGGGGTCAGCCGCTGCGCGAGGCATTCGTTCGGCTGGTGGAGCACCCGACCATCCACAATGTGACACGCAATGCGGCACGATTCCAGCTGATGCTGCCCAAGGGCCTCTACGGCCTCGAGGTGGGCGCGCCCAACTACGAGTCGAAGATCGTGAAGACGCTGGTGCAGCAGGACGTCTTCAGTGACCTGGGTGTGATCAAGCTCAACGGCTACAGCCTGATCAAGGGCGAGGTGACGGAGCTGAACACGCTGAGCAGGACAACCACCAGCCTGACGGGCCTAGTGCTCGACGACAACAATCATCCCATACGCAATGCCAAGGTCTCGCTCATCCAGCCGCCGGGCTGGACGCACGTGCGCAACTTCACCAACAGCCTGGGCGAGTATCGGCTGTCGGCGGTGCCCTTGGGCGCCATTACGATCAAGGTGGAGGCTCCGCGTCACTTCGAGGCCACGCGCGATCTCCGCCTGCCGCAGCCGGGGCAGCCCATCCAGAATGTCATCTTCCATCTGAAGTTCAATGCGCATGTGTTTGGTCTGCCGCGCTTCCTCTTCATCATCGTGGCCAGTGTGCTTATCATAGTGGGCGTGGTCATGTGCGTACTGTGCGCCCAGTTCTGGTTCTACAGACGACATCGAGGCAAGATGCCCTACTACAACTTCTCGCTGCTGCCGCAGAAGGGCAAGGAGCAGTTCGAGCTGGACGACGATGCTGGCGACGATGGCGAAACGGAACTCTTCCGCTCGCCCATCAAACGTGAGTGCAACACACAATTGAAACATGCATTTGCAATTGTAATTGAATTTACCCAATTCCCTCCCCTAAAGGTGGCATGACCATACAGCCCTACTTCGATGAGGAGCAGCTGGAGCACATCCTGCACACGGACGACGAGGACGATGACGAGGATGGGCATGGCAACGGGCTGGACCAGGATGAGCAGGAGCTGCAGCTGGATGTGGCCGATGAGAGCGGCGATGAGATTGTCATGTTGCCTCATCACAATCGACGCAGGCAGTAGAAAGAGATGGCAACACTCACACAACAACAGCACACAACATAACTGTGATTCCAAAGTTTTCAAAAACCGAGCGCTCTGCTTCAAGTATGCTTAACTAAAAAAAATTAATGTTAAAA